GTGCCATACTTATGGGGATGTAATACTGGGGCTGTGTTTCTGAGCTTGCATTCTACAGGACATCTTCAAATGAATTTAGAAACCACTATTCTTCAATTCTTGGTAGACAATTAACTTAAAAAAAAAAAGAAAAAAAAAAAAAGGGTGATGTTTTGCAGCCAGCTCCGTAAGAGAAAAGCAGCTCAGAGACTGAGCTGTTACTTTTTAGGAAGAACACTGGAAGGCAGGACAGAAAGAGGAGAATGGCTGTGCAGGGCAGAGAGATGGGTTTACCCCCGATCCTGCCTGAGATTAAGCCATACTCCTGGGAGCCACTGAGCTTCCTTGAGGTTAATACCAGAATGGATTTGATACTGAACATGCACCATGGGGTTGGTATTGAACATTAAGGATCTCATCAACTAACTTGAAAAAGACGTGCTAAATAAGCATGGTCCTGTTTCCATCGACTGAAGTGCCATCAAGCCAGACTCCAAGTATGGCACACAGATTTCTTCTACAGAGCACTGGCAATACACAGTATGCCCTTATTTCTGGCTTTTGAGTTTGTTTTTTTTTTTTTTTAATTTCACAAATGGCCTGTGACTATGACACATACTCTACCTTTCACATTTGCAATGTATAACCATATTTTACGTGCCCTTTCTGCAGCACTACCAGCTGCTGCTTTGGTTGAATTTAATTTTAACACACTTCCCAAGCAGTACAGAGATGGCAAAACTTTAATTGCCTGTCTGTGTTAAGCAAGACAGTTAAACATGCAGTTAAAGCATACGTTCAACAAGAAAATATGGTTGGTCTAATTCCACTGGTATGAAAGACTGCTTTGGTCTCCTGGGCTGAGGAGAAGTTTAAGAAAAACATCGTCTAGAGACTATTTGTGCCTTGGTTGAGTCTGGCTGCAAGTCCCTGTAGGAAAAGAAGGCCTAAGAGTGAGCAATTACCCTCCTTCGATTAAAACCTTCTAGTTAGCTAGTCTAAAATAGAGTGGAAATTTTTTGTGAACCTTACTCCACTGAAGGATGAAAAGAGGTTTTCCACTGAAAACACAGAACAAAAAGCAGCCTTTTAAAATATAAAAGTTTATGGAAAATTCTGTGACCATCTTCATGTAAAAGCAGTTATTCTGCTTCCCCTAAGAATTCAGATCATTCCCTTCCTTTCTCTGTTTCTTTATTCTTATTTTTTTCCAGCGGACATAAAGTAGTTAGTAGCAAAGGACAGTATTAGGCTTTCTCATTTCCTACAGAAAGAAAAAACTCTGGAAAATACAAGGTATAAAAATGAAACTTGCCCAGGACTTGTGCTGGAAATTCAAAAATAGGTGACTCAGAGCAAATGCAAGATCATCAAGAAGTACAAGGGTCTATGTAGTTATTTCAGAAGGTGAAACCTACTGCTCTAAGTTTCACCTATACACATGCACATACAGTTAAACAAAAAGTGTCCATGTAGAACATCCAATAACAGTGCCCTTTACTCCACTCCAAGCTACTGCTTCTCTGTGAAGAAATGGATTTGCCCTTCCACTTTCGGGGATTGGTCCCAAGCTAATGACGGGGTATGTTTAAGTTGTTTTTCAGAAGTTTCTGCATTCTATGTTCTGGTCTAAAACTCCCATCACTCATCTCTTACTATGCCATAACCTCCCTTTTTGGGGTAGCTGGAGCCATTTTCAAGACCTTGGAGGATTGCTGTTGGCAAGACTGTTCTCTGTATCTTGATTCTGGAAGTTTTTAACATCCAGCTGCTCACCCAGATGTATTTAGGAGCTTTGAAATTCAACTGCTATGCTAGTGAGCAGGTTTTGAAACCTTTTTTGGATCACAGTAGCTACAGCTTTCGCTAAGCCTCTCCTTCATCTGTGTTACAGCTGAACTAAGATACTGAGCATTTTCTCTTTTGGGTGATCTGTGAGCCTGCAAATTTGAAGTGCTATAGAGGCAACAAACTCAATTAGCAGAATCCGCAGGGCTGATCTCATACAAATTTCTGCTTAGCGTTTTGGGCTGCAGATAGCTGCCGCTGGGAACCATCCAGCCGGACACCCACTGGTGCCCCAGATTCCCTCCACTTCTCTGCCCTACTGCTCTTCTTGTTACGGAAGATCCCAGAGGCCAACCTTGCCACAGTTTCTTTGAGAGAGAGACGCTTTCCCCTTTACTGTCAAAACAGGGATTTTGAAACCGATTTTTCAGTCTGCATACTTACAGACACTCACAGACATAGCCAGACTTCCTTCTTTCATTTCTAATTTCAGCGACACTGACTAGAAGATCTGGCTTCCTCAGTGCTCTCTCTTTTATGCCTTTAATACTTCACACCTTTCACTAAAGCCTTGTTTTCATTCCCCTCAGACCGGTACGTGCCAGTAACCAAAGAGGATGCAAAAATACCAATTGGTGTCTCAGACTGACAATTGCATCTAATTACCTCTGACCCCCCCAGCCACAGATGTTTAGAATAACAATTCAGTAAGGTTGTCCCCAGGTGCCTTAGAGATAACCAGAAGTACTGTAACATGGCTTTCAAAAGGATAGTTCAAATAAGCAGCCACATTAAGCGCGAGTCCTGAACCAACTGAAGTTTGCCTCTTTTTCTAGAGCTGTGAACTATAATTCTCCATGTTTCAGGAGTGCCTTCTACTTTAGGATGCATGACAACTTAAAGAGACTTTAATTGACTCTCAACATGCCTTTCCTAAGTATTATTTCCAATTCACTGGCTAAGAAAAGCACAGCATAAAACATGAAGCCATTGTCCAAGTGCATGACAATAAAGAGAAATTGCTGAAATAGCTCTCCCCATTTTATGAAAAGTACAGCTTCTGTACCTGCCAAAAGTTATTGTTGTTTTTTTATTTTAATTCATAAATGAGTCAACAGCAGTAAAAAAAAAAAAAAGTGGGAATTTTTTTTGGTGGACTGTCAGTACATATGTCTCTCAAAAAGGAAGTTGGAGAGAAGGGCAGGTTGGAAAATTTTCCAACTGCATGTCAGTGTTTCTCACAGATGCCAAGATAAATCTTAGATAATCTCTTTCCAAAGATGCCACTTCAAAGGCAGTCACAAATATGCCCTCAGAAACTACAGGAAACGTAGAGCCTATAAACAAGGGAGTTGGGGGGACCCCACAACCAGCAAGCAACCAATTAGAACTGGCTCCTAAGTTACGACATTAAAAAGTGTTCTCCGTAGAAGTAATTATTTACAACTACATTCCAGACCTGCTGAAATAAGACAACCATTCCCCAAATAATATTTGCAGGATATCAAATTGCAAAAAATACACAGGTTATTTCAGTGAGTGTTTTGTTCATCAGGAAAAACCGAAAAGCCTAAGGGCTTCATGAAAGAGAAATATCTTTGCTTCTTCCCCTGGGGGGAGGGGTAGTTTTTCTTACACACGTTGTTCCTAGAAAGCCATGTGTTTAGAGCATTGTTGGTCCATGCCGTGAGCCAGCGTTGCAAGACTGGGAGCTGATCATGCCTCTCCATACGCAAAGCAATGGCAACTTCCCCCCTCCTTCAGTCAAGGCTGGGAAAAGGAAGACGTGTATCCTCTGGAAAAGACATAGTGAATCTGCAGAGTCCACACAAGATGGGTCTATACTGGGGAACGTAAAGAAACATTTCCAGTAGACCAGCTAGTGCTGTAACAGCAGCAGTGATGCTGCAGGGGCCCTAACTCAGAGAATTCTCTGTCAGTGTAGCCAATGAGTTGATGACCTTCGAGCAATCAATCTTGGTGCTGTCAGTAGAACTGTACCAGAATTTGAATTTAAGATTTGAAAAAATGCTTAACGAGGTACACAGTTTTAACTTCCTATTTTCTGTCATATTTGCCTAAGAATGTTGTTTTAGGTAAAACTAATGACAAAACAATTAAACCAATTTCCTTCTTGTCTAGATCTAGCACAGTTTAATGCCTCCATATTCTAGTTTTTCAGTTTTTTCCCTGTAGCATTTATGATTACCTCACTCTTGTAATGCTCCTCTTGTTCCTCCCCTGGTTGGTTTATTTAGAACCAAAGATATCTATGATACTGAACAGAGAGACACACAAACACACAGTTCCAGCCTTGTTCCAGATAACATGCAACACTTTCTGATGGTTTTTGCAATTCTGTCAGAAGAAAACAAGCACAAAACATGACTAAGGTATTTCATGTAATGCTGTATGAATTGCTTTACAACTCTCTAAAATCCAGTGTAGATTATTCTTCTGAGAGAAAGACTGGACCTCATCACTGAGAGCCTAAAGAAAATTAAGTGCTGAGGGATGATTTACATGAGGACAAGGAAGCTACCCTAAATAAAGTGTCCAAAAGGACATTTAGATTGCATTTGACACGCCTTGCAGAGAGAAATAAGACCACACCTCTTCCAAAGACAGTTCCAAAAGGATTTACATATAGGTGTCACTGAACGCTTTGAAACTAGAATTTACTGTTAATCTGTGCTCTACTACTCCATTCCCCTGAAGAGGAGTTTCAAAAGCTTCATTTCATCTCAACAATTGACTAGATGCTTCTTCCTTCAATTGTCCCAGCAGAAGGGTCCTGAATGTTAGCATGGTTTCCTCTAACAGCAAACATTTAGCATACAAAGACAAATATTAAAAGACAAGCATTTCAGAAGAATTAATCAAAAGATAAATAAATAAATTCTGTGCACGTGCACAAATACACATGTAATACTACGTGTAAGATGAGCTCTGCCACTATATAGTGGTTCAGGAAGATTCTGCTACAGTACTTGCTCACAGAGAAACTGCACAGCTCTTAGTGAGGAATTCTTATTCTTCCAACTTAAACTGAGAAGTTCCAGCACAAAGGTCCTGCCTGCACGAAGGTATCTATAAACTAATAACAAAAATCTAACCACAGCTAAACAAATGTTATTTGACCAATTACCAGCTGACACTCTGTACATGTCTCTGTACAGTCAAGTTCCTGGAAATGAAACACAAGAATATTATTTAGCCAAAAATGGACTCACTGTTCCAAACAGCTCACGTGCCTGTGGAGTCCCAAGCTTAAGAGCCTGAAGTCATGCAGGGGCTCCCTGAAGCAGCATTTATCTGGTCACACACATCTAGATGACAGCACTGTTGTTCTCATTAGGACAACAACTTCTGGAACTGACAAGTGACTCCTGAAATGTTATTCCTTACTGAAGCATCTCAGTTTGAATGGTAGGGATTGAAAAACAATGGGATGTTCTCAGTAGAATAATCAGCTATTTTTTTAATTGAGAATTCATATATACAGCCTGTGGAACTCTGTGCAAATGGATGCAAACAAAGAACTTCATATAATACAGTGCCTTTTGGATTGATCTCACAGTTACTTATATATACACTGGCATGAATTGCTCAGTGCAGCTCCCCCCTCCATGTCTGTTCCTGACACTGGATTAAAAAATGACAGTCCAGCCTGGGACCTTTTTTTTTTTTTTTGCAGAGGCACCCAAGTAGGCTTGCTCAGTTACTCTGTCTTGAGACGGAGAGCCTCCCGTCGTTGCTTCTGAACAGTCCTGGAATCTTCCAACAGACCGGGTCCTCTGATATTCTCCCAGTTATCCAAGTCAGACTTTTCCAGCTTCTGCAGATAAACAGCAAAAATAACAGTGTCACCTTGACAGCCCCATGATTTAAAGTACGTATGATTCTAAATTGTTTTCCTTCTGCACAAGAAACTCAGTATCACTACTGGGTTGATGAACTTTCATCAACTGCAAGAGAAGTTCAACAACAAGGAAAAAAGTTTGGGGAGTTATCCATATAGCTACGTAAGTGACTAGGGTGGGCATTACTGCATCTGCTCATCAAAAGGTACGTATCATGTAAGACAGAAAGCGCTACAGCATCTGAACACAACTGAAGATAACTTCTATTCACCACTTCTTTCTTCTCTCACCTTGTTTTCCAGGTCTGTTCTTCAACTGCAAGTCTGCCAAGTACTGAAGTAGTAGGAGTGGTAAGCATTTGTATAGCTCAAACGGAAGATTAGTAATTAGTGACCTGAAGTATCCTGTCAGCACAGATACAAAGCATACTGGAAAAGATTAATTATCCAGCACAAAGAGAGACAGTAACAGTGCAATCCCCTTCAATGCATGTGGTTTTAACTTGAGAGAGGTATGCGATGCTTTCTGCTGCCTAGTTTCTCATGGCACCCAACCATTGCAGATAGGTCTCTTGCTAAGTCATACATGAGATATGCTAACCGGCCGAACTGTCAAATACTTAAAAGCATGTAGATTTTAATTACCTCCTTGCCTGTTCCTATCATCCCCACTCAGAAGCACCAATGACTGCAGTATTTATCTGGCCTTAGAGGTGCACAAAAACGACGAACAGGCACCCTCCTGAGCTCACCTACCAAATGCTGCAACTGAAGATGGCAAACATATACTGCATTTTCACAGTCCTACTGGCAGAGACATAAAGTCCTTTGCCAGCAGACACAGACCTCCAGTCTCACGTGCCAGCCTGCAGTCTGGAATGGTACATAAGACACGATGGGGCTCTGCCAACAGGAGGCTGAGCAGGGGGTCTGCACCACTGCCAGAAACGGGGCTATTCTACATGCTACTGAAGAGGGCAATATCGCATACCATTAATGATACGTACTGCAAACTTCTGATCTGTGATCAGGGCCTCATCTCAGCAAATGCTGTAAAAATACACCAGAAAATACTTAACCCTGCCCTGAGCCTGTGGTTTAATTTGCCTGCCATCAATCATCCAAATAAATGGCAAATACTGAGGGACTTGAATAATAGTCGCAGAATAATTCAACAGCTAGAACAGAACAGACCTGCTGCTATTAGTTCATGTTATGTAAAAGTTTTCTGCCACTTCTACAATTGAGGAAATTACAATGAGGTTAGTCAGATATCAAAAGAAATTAGGCAACATTCAACAGAAGATACATGAGAATACATGCACAAACACAGCAGACTTTCACATGATAGGAGTAACTGAATTTTTCATACAGCAGAGTTGGTGTAAGTCTTTCTGAAGAATTGTCTTCACTACTTTATACATCTTATGATTAGCTTGTACTTCAACTGGAAGGGATCTGAGCTGATGTGGAAGGAGGGACAAGGAGGGAAGGTACTCATCATCCCCCACACAGAAGCAACTATCCCCTCTGATTGCAAATCCAGAATTTAACATCTGATTCTAAGGGAAGCTTCAAGGAAACTACACTGAATATAACCTTGTGCTTTCACAGAAGGGAAGCATGCCAATTTTATTAAACACAAAGGTACCACACAGCTGTGAGGATCTAAACAATTCCCAAAGGTCCTCAGCTCCCAAAGCCTGAACAAGAATCAACATTTAAAACACACACAACAAAACGTAGTATCTAAAGATAGAGTACATAAAGAAGTCTATCGAGAGACAGGCATACTGGAGATCTTTACCAAAAGTTTGTATTAATCTGCCCCTGAAATTTCATAAAGGCTTTTCAGAGAGGAGTTTTGTCCAAAACAGGAAAAATTTCAGAACTATGCAGCGTAAACAAACCAGTACAAGAAAATATTTTGGCAGTTTCCAATGGAAAGCATAAAGGTACCTGGAAAACACACTGCGAGATACCAACAAAATAAAACAACCAAGGGTTATGTACAGTAAATGGCATTGCCTCAAACTACAGAACAGTTGAGATCTATTGACAGAGTTAATTTTTGTCAATTAAAATATAAAGAATTAAAGATTCTAATGAATACTAGAGAAACTGTATTTCTATTTTTTATTCTTATTGTATTTATAAAGAACATTAACATCTTGTGTCATGTATAAAGCCTGTGTTTGTTCCCTTGCTGCAATTCAAGAAGAAAGCACCTTCCCTACTGGCACATGACAGTATCTGCAAAAATGAGTAGTTTACGGGACAGGTGTCTGTTCAGTCATCAGAAGGCAGCACGATTAAACAATCGAATTTTCTAAACTGATGCTATCAAGTTTTGAAGGACTAGAGGACTCCTGTTGCATGTGGATAAGCATAAGAAGGAGTATAACTGCTGAAAGGGGACCCGAAAATCTGTTCTGCAATGCTTTCCTACTGTACAGCTGTTTTCACATGTATCTACCTGTGCTGGTTCTGACTGGGATAGAGTTAATTTTCTCCATAGCAGCTAGCATGGGGCTATGTTTTGGATCTGTGCTGAAAGCAGTGTGGGTAACACAGGGATGTTTTCATCACTGCTGAGCTGTGCTTACAGAGAGTCAGGGCCTTTGCTGCCTCTCACCCACCCCACCAGTGAGGAGGCTGGGGGGGGCATGAGGAGCTGGGAGGGGACCCAGGTGGGACAGCTGACCCCAGCTGACCCCAGGGATATCCCAGACCTTGGGATGCCATGCTCAGCACAGAAAGCTGGGGGAAGGAGGAGGAAGGGGGGGACGTTCAGAGCGATGGTGTTTGTCTTCCCAAGTCACCGTTAAACATGATGGAGCCCTGCCTTCCTGGGGATGGCTGAGCACCTGCCTGCCCATGGGAAGCAGGGAGTGAATTCCTTGTTTTGCTTTGCTTGTGTGCGAGGCTTTTGCTTTCCCTGTTAAACTGCCTTTAGCTCAAACCAGGAGCTTTCTCACTCTTACCCTTCCGATTCTCTCCCCCATCCCATCGGGAGAGAGGGAGCGAGCGTGTGGCTGAGCTGCTGGCCAGGGTTAAACCACAACACTATTTCACATACATAAATAAAAACTAACCTTTTTGCTTGGTCACTGATACGAAAATTCTTACAACGGTATCACCCCAGAATAAATGGCTACATTAGATGTAGGCCAATGTAGGCTACATTTTAAATTAATCTTAGTGCCGAGAATAAGACCAAACTGACAGTCCTCCTATTGATGAGGTGCCTCACAAGCTGCAAAGTTTCACAGCTCCCTCAGATTGCCTGAGCTGTACAGTGAGAATTCACGTGAGCAGCTCCAAGATGAAGCCAACTTCTTTCATTCAAGCTTGTTGGGTCTTCTCAATTTTTTTTTAATTTTTTTTTTTTTTTTAGCCACCTGGACCCTGCCCACCTAACTTCATAAAGATGGTGAACTCCTTCCAGCTTTTACTAAACTGAAATCCATATGAACTGGCAGTCTAAAAACCAAAAAGCTTTTCCTCCCAATTCAAATGTACTAAACAGTCAATCGTTGGAGACTACGATGAAATGTAATCGGATCAGACCAGCACCACTATTCCTACTTGTCTCAAATAGCCCAGGGGATATTGAAAATTAGCTGTTTAAAGTAAGATCAGTGTAGTCCATTAAATCTACTGATTCACTTCCTAAATCAGTTAAACTGCCTCTTAAAAGTATGGGGCTGACAGAAGCTGTAAATTCCAGAAAAAAATGCAGCTATGCAGACAGGCACAGTGAACCAAAAAAAAATGTTAAACTGTTTGCCACACACTTGAATTTTAAGACTTTTGCTAAACAGCTTGCCTGATGCAAAGGTACAAATAAGGACGTAAAGAGGCCTTCATTTCTTAATTGCTTGTTCAAATGTCTGGCTTGATATTAAGAAAAAGCCATAATCCTCTGCCAGCTTTAAAATAAAATAAAGTTTTAAAAATAGTTTTAATTCTACTCTTGCAGGATTGTCTTCATGCCACAACAAACAAACTGAAATCTGTGGAAGTTCATTTAGAGGTATTGGTGCTCAAGCTGAGTTAATTCAGGGTGGTCACTTGCAAAAAATATTTGGCTTTAGCCTCTGTTTCCCACATGTGAAAAGAGGGATAAGAATCCTGTTTACTTTACAGTTTGATGCAACAGATTCTGTGATGAGCGCCACAGAAAGAAATTACTCTAATTCAGAGAGACAATTATTTCCCATCATTATGGTAAGCAAACCCATTTGCAGATAAAAGATGAGCCAGGAAAGAATATCCTCACGGCTGAAAGATGCAGTGAAAGAAATGCATTAAAACCAGTCTGGTTTTGCAAGGGCATCAAAACACCTTGAAGACCATAAAAGATATATTGAAGAACTCTATGATGACTTATAGATGCAGAGATAGAGAATTAAGGCTAACACTGAAAATCTTAACTTTATCATCATACTGATATGGGTTATTGGTTTTTTTATAACTCTTCCCCAGAGCCATCTTTTGACATCTCATTTTCTTAATATAAACCTCGTGTTACTTACTTTGTTTAGGATATGACATAATTTAATATCTGTGACTAGTGATTTATTAATCTGTGATTTAATAGCTCGTGATTAGTGATTTAATCCTCAGATTAAAAAGAAGTATTTTTTCCAACTAGAGAATATTTAGGTTTTATGTTACTAGTATACAAGCAAGTCAACAAGCAGCATGCTATGGCCAGAATAAGGTAGTTTTGTTCATTAAGGGAAGAAATGTTTGATTTATTTTTTTTTTCTTTTTTTGGATGTAAGCGTCCAGAGAGCTGCTTCTCTTTTTGGCTTTGCTGAAGACTGGCAGAAACCGCAACGATGAAACCAACAGAGGTTTTGTTGCTAACTTCAGTGGGATCCAATACCATTGATCCAGGGCACAATTAATAAACCTGTGATAAACTGT